GAAGGGTTTGGGTAACTCTGAACTCGAATGTCTCTGGGTATTTATTTTTCTTGTATGTGAACATGTCCTCTCCCTTTTTTCTTTGTTTCCTTTTGAAATGCGAATAAACATTATTTGAAAAAAACCCCTCTGAACTAGAACGTTTGTAGGTTTTCATACATTGCTGAATTTGAAACGGGGGCGAGAAAAACTCCACATGTATTTTGGAACAGCCCATTGTGCGAGCATGTAATTTATGAATGCTGCAGGATGGTCTGACTCAGAAACATTCATTCGGAAGCACCATCACACATGCAGGCATTTACTCTGACCAAGGACATTATGTCCTGACTGACTGACTCACAACTCCACCACTAGCCGGGTTTTATTTTGTTGTCTCAGTGCTTGCCCAGCATAGCAGGCCATTTCACACTTGTCACCAGCATGGCATTGATGTGCTACCCAGTGAATGTGTCGTATTTACATACAGTGCAGTGGTGAATGTGTCAAGTATTAACATTCAGCAAGGTAACAAAACATAGACATTTCGGGATGAAAATAGCTTTACAAGTTTGTCAAAACTCCTGTCAAAGTAAGACATTGTCCCCCTTCTAAAACAGCAGGTCCTTTATTAATCCTACATGAATTTTACATAAACGAAAGGAATACATACCACAGGGATTGAGAAATAATATTAGCACAGGGACGGAATCTATGTTTGTTTTTGGTTTGAAGATTCATTTGTCATTTGTATAAACGGCATTATATGAACCCTTCTTCAGTTTGTTGGCGAAGGGAAACATAGGCTGGAGAAGATCCAGGCCTAGGATCGTATGCTGATCTTATAAAATCAGCAGTTGAGGAGACAAGTTACTTTTCTGGCCCGCCTACGGTCGCCATGTTATGGACTGAGTGCGATTCACACATTCCAAGAACTCCGGGAAGTCCCGAACATGCCGCGGATATTCGGAACTGAAGTTCGGTCGCTCGGAAATGGCGACGACCGCTCCGAAAGGCGACGACCGTTCTGAGAAAAGGCGACGACCGTTCGGAAAGGCGACGACCGTTTACGAGACGGAAATTTGCGACGGCGACTCGGTAGCGGTTCGATCTTTGGATTTACCCGCGAGTTCTAATCGGAAGATTTCATCGACTTTCCCCACAGAACGTTCTAAATTTATACGATACACAATCGGTGAAATGCATACGCTCACTTTATTTTCTTCCTATACCATATTTTTTGTTCAAAAGCACATGTACAACTCGCGCCGTATCGCCGTATCAAAATAAGTGGCTAGGTTCTGTCTGAAGCCGCTCCGCACCAACATGGCGGACCGCCGGCCTCGCCGCGCCGCGCCGCGCAGTTTATACAGCTATTTTAGTTACTCCAGACAAGGAAAAAACACAAATTATTACCGGAGATACTACAAAAGAAAGTGCAGATTAGGACATGCAATGTCCCTTCCTTTATTTGTAGAATGGATGGCTGAACGAGTCCCGCGATCGGCCGGTGAGCGGACGGGCGATGCACGAACTTGCCGATGATTCGATGTTTTCGTAAACTCATCCAGTCATAAAAATTCAACCACTACAAACTATGATTCTTGAACCATTTTTGAGTGAGCTATTACTACCTGTCCACATAATTTGTTGATATAGATACAGTAAAGACAGCCGTTGTTGGTGCCCCATATAGCACCCTATGACTGCCGTCATGGTGTGTCCCCTGTGCACGTCAAAGCCACGTTATAGCGTGTCACTCAGCACGCTTACATAGCTCCATAATCGATGTATCTTAACGTGTTTTTCCTTACCTGTGGAAGTTATGGCCCTGGGGGGCTCCGGTCCACAGAACTGACCAATCACAGGAGAGCCACGATGTCTCCCATCATGCACTGCTACATAATCGTACTCACAGTCCACAGTAGGCTCCACATCAAGGTCAATGAACTTCAACCTTGAAAGAAGAACATTTAATTCTAGATTAACGAAAAAAAATAAGATCTGGAGGCTATGCCAACATGATGACCGTACCAACGGCCTAGATTCTAGGTTACTTTACTATGACTGTCTCAAGTTTGAAAAAAAATGTTTTATTTGCTTTTTAGCTGTAACAGTGAACTAATTCTGTCTTAAACATTTAAAATGATATTCTACATTAACATCCGTGTCCATAATATCACCAGGGTCCATAATATCGCCACCTTGAGAAATAGTGTGCTTTAAGATACACATGTATTTTTACTGCAACATACTTTTGGTATGCACTCCTGCACACCTCAAATGTACATACTAGGGTATGTTGCAGTAAAAATATCTTGAAGCACACTTTTTCTCAAGGTGGCCATATTACGGACTATGGTCACCGTGATATTATGGACACAGATGTTACATACAATTCCAAAATGATTGCTATATGTATAAGAATTATCATTCAATCAGGAAGTACCGTATTTACTCTGTTATATAGTGTTTGACAGTGGTACCTTATTCTGTGATGTCTTGGCACACTGATTTTCCACACACAGGACATGTCCTCTGCATAACCATTGGGATAACCTGGACTGGTGAAGGAGCCTGAGTTTGGGTCCGTCAGTCTGAAGTAGCAGCGTTCTGTGGGCAAAATAAAAACAAATAAACTTTTTTAGGTTAGATAAAACAGTTTTTATGTTTACCGAAGGAAAACATATTCAATTTGTTTTTACTCAGTTTCTTCCTCCTCCTCTTCTGTTCCAAACACTAACCTCTGACCTGACCAATGACATGATTTGTTTACATCTGTCATCATAGTGATTGGTGTTGGGTTACATAATGTTGCCATTTCATGGTCTGCTCTGCTCCTGTCACCAGATACTTGTAGTACATGTATGTGAATGTGTTTGAGTAAAAATTGACAGGCTAGATTATGTCTGAAGGTAAACATTATGTATTTGCTTTGCAAATGTTACTCTAGTTTATGATATAATCTACTCCTGTGAAAACCAAACAGGTTGTAGCAAGGTTATGTTTAATATCATCTTTCAAAATGTTCGTATCTTGCTATGATGTCTACTAGATGTTCCTTGATGCCATTTTCAATTACTAAAATTCCTGAAATTTGAAGGGTTACTAAACTATAGTACAATGTACATTGTCATACACATACTGACAATTCAAATACCAAGCTTGTATATCAACATTGATTGGCAAAAACTGCATTATATTGATTTATATCTAGAAAGATTTACAATAGAGAAATTTAAAAGAAACTTTGTTAATCTTTTCTTATTCTATCAGGTTTTGATTTCACCACATTGTAAAGAACACAATTGCAAGGCCAGAAAATGGTGTTGTACTTTGTAAATTAAATTGACTCCTCTTCAATGATTTGATTTGATTTATTGAAATTGTAACAGTGCAATACTACATGCGGAGCAGAGGCAGCTGTTGCTGGTGTTGTGTCCCGCACATAGAGACGAATACAAGACAGACAATACTCATTTTCACTTGAGTCTAGTGGGGAAAGTCGTGTAAAGTGCCTTTCCCAAGGGCATAAGATCGGTGGCATGTCAGGACCTCTTGATTCCGATTTGCGCACGTTGCCGTTGTGCCACACAACCCACAAAAACTGACAAAACAGAGAAAACATCTGGATACTAACCCTCTGATTTTTTGTAAGAAGCGTATGTGGCTGCCAGCGCCGGCCAGTCCACGCTGTTCTGACTGGTTACGTGCAGACGGAGCTGGATGGTACCGCTTCCCGTGGTCACGTACGGCGGAGGTTTCCAGTCTCCGCAGTATCGACCGCCATTTCCCTGAGAAGTATGAACAACAGTTTAATAACAGTTCAAAAACATTTCACAAATATTCAACGAAAGATCAACAACTGTTCAACAACTGGTCAACAATAGTTAGACAACTGTTCAAAAACTGTTCAACAAAAGTTCAACAACAGTTCAATAACTGTTCAACAACTGTTCAACAACAGTACAACAGCAGTACAACAACTGTTCAACAACAGTTCAACAACAGTTGAACTACTGTTCAACAACAGTTCAACAACAGCTAAACAACAAAAGTTAAACAACACAGTTCAGTGACTGTTCAACAACAGTTCAGTGACTGTTCAACAACAGTTCATCAACTGTTCAACAACAGTTCAACAACTGTTCAACAACAGTACAACTGTTCAACAACAGTTCAACAACTGTTCAACAACAGTACAACTGTTCAACAACAGTTCATCAACTGTTCATCACCTGTTCAACAACAGTTCAACAACACAACCTCTTTTGCTCTTTTTCTTAGTATCTAACTGGCCCAAAATTTGTCATGTTCTTTCTTAAGTCAAAAAATTTATTACTGTGCCAAATTATGCCTCTTCCAAATCTTTATTTGTGACTTATAAAGTTTGTCCTCTAAAGTTACAAATTTATATATAATGAACTCAAGCGTCTTGAGGTTCATTTTCTGCAGTAACACTTGTTTCTGCAAGGTGGCACTGTTGCATGCCTTAGTGATGACGGACCATTCTCTTTTGCAATGCCATCATAGTTCACAACTTTACAATAGTACTTCTTCTATAAAACATCCTGTAAAATACAGAATGTAGTGGTTGGGTTGTCTAGGAATATCACCCCTTTATGGTAATGTTGCTTAGAACCTTTTTGTAATGCTCAAATGTTACAAATTTTATCGTTCAATTTTACTATGTTACATAACGTCAGTGCCAGTGGCCTTTCTGTATATTGTTGCTGTATCAAAAACCTGACAAACTGGTGAATTAATGATATAATGGACCAGAAACAGGGGATGTTGTTCCTAAGGCCAAAACCATAAACACCCAAATCAGCGGGAAAGCCAAGTTGTCTCCGCTGCAGCCACAATTTTCTCTGTCATTAATCGGCCACGGCGGTGTAAATTATGCCCCGGGATGGCCCATTCCCGTCTTAATTCCATCATTTATCTACGTCGCTCGCCACCGTAAAATCTACCCGCAAGCAATTATGGAAACTGCCAGCCTTTGGCACATGTCCTAACTACAATACGGTGCCAGCAACCCCAGGAAAAATTACCTAATAACTTCCGTAGACATCTTTGACCCAGAAACGAAAATGGTGGAGAACAGGTAATGGAAACTCAAAGTAATTTGCAATGTCTGGATTTTATGTAGATTGGGGTTGTTTCTTGTTAATGGGTAAGGTAATTGAATAATCTATATTCTTCCATGTACTTTGTTGCTACCCCCCAATGTGTGAACAAAAAGCTTTTAGACAAGAAGTCATGTTAACCTAAGTCAGGTCACCATTGATTACAAATTAAAGTTTGAAATTGTAAAGTTTTTTTATAAGCAAAGAACCTACAGTATAAGAGCTCCATAAAAATGTATATTCTTGATTTTAAACATTCACAAAAATGTTGAATAGTCATTCATTTGATATCTGTAATATCTTTGGATATCAGAGGCAAAATTTATCAAATTTTGGTACTTATAGCAATTGTCATAATCCACAGAAACATCTCTTAGACTTATGATTTGCAATATTGAATGCAGGTAAAATGAATAATCCACTCATAGCAGTTATGACACATTGAAGATTTACAACAATAAACAAAAATGACGGATAACACATATTACAGATGTATCAAATTATTATTAATATTATTAGTAAACTTATCTATTATTATGAAGTAAAAAACTGTATTCCCCTTCTGATTTAAATAATAAGAATAATAATTTCTTTTAAAGTATTTTGTCAATACAATTTGACATTTTTTAGTACATATTATATAATATAGTCTCTAGCTTTGAATCTTATCAAATGAGCCCCAGTGCAACTGTATAAAAAGTTTATTTTTGTTATTAGGACTTTTAAGCTTGTAGGTTTTAAGATATATTTCAACCATATAGGCCAGATTACGCTATTTTTCTCGCTATTACATGAAATCTTTGTGTTCCCCATCCAAACCATCCAAGAAACAGTACATTTAGAGGAACTTGATCAATGTTAGAAACATTTTCCACAAAGCTATTTCCGGCATCCAATCCACTAAAGGCACATGTACACTTAGTGAATGCGTCTTTCAGTGGAAATTTGTCAAACTTCCAATTTTTCTCTTGCCCAAAATTGGGTAAACAGAACTGAGCCCAAATTAGGGCGCACCGAGTCTAAATGGAAATGATGCCTGTCAATTTCCTGTGCCTCGTAAAAGTAATTACGTCCGGTAGCTGTGAGGCGTTGTTAGCAGAAAGAAGAGTCTTTCTCAGGCATTCACTTCAAATCTTTTCCTTAGGCCACACCAATTTAATCTGTTGGTTTTTCAGAAAAAAATATGACGCGACGGGGTGAAAAAAAAATTAAAACAAGTCTAGGCAATTCTTTTTAGAAGGCTAAGCAGTACTGAAGATGATGATCCTATTATAGCCCAAAATGCTACGATAGGAGCCATGAAGTCAACAGAAAAGGCTGGGTTAATATTTAAACAATGAATTTTGAACTTTTAATCAAACCACTGCATTCATATGGATGGAAGAACTGTAACAACTAGGAAGAAAAGGACTTTCCTCAACTGTTGGGGGCAAAATATGAGCCTACTGGAGTTGATTGAGAACCAGAATCTTTTTTTTTTGCAAATTAGAAAAAAATAGAGGCAAATCCGAGAACCAACATATTAAATTGGTGTGGCCTTAAAGACCGTTCTGGTCTTCAATTAGGCTGAGGTGATTAGGGCCTACTTTTATAGTCTGTCTGAAATATTCTGGGTTGAAAAGAACCCTCCAGGCTCAAACCACATATGTAATACATGTACCAGGAAAGCAACCTACAATTTGCGAGTGAAATACAACTTGCAGATTTGCAGGCCAGTAAAATATAATTTTGTCTTCAGTAAACTTTCACCTGTTTTATACTGTGTAAGTAAGTACATGCTATACATTGTATGTAAGAATGGACTGTAATTTTGATCCATTCATGCCAGGATGGACCCCTACTCTTTTCAATAAGAGTGGTGGGTTCTTTAACTAGCTGTTCTCAAATACATGACCTATAAGACTTTCCTATCCAATAAGATGTCACTAACCAAAGCTAGTTAATCAAATAGCAAAAACTATAATATGGATCAGTTGCTACGTCACACAGTTGACAGAATGAAGACTAGAAACTTAAGGTAACATTTGTGAAGCAAAATGCATAATGTTTACCTTCGCGTATGGTCTGCTCTGTTAATTCTTACTCAAACACATTCATAGACAGAAGTCTAAATCCCTCCTGCTATAAAATTGCAACATGATGTAACCCACCACTAGTTACCATGGTAACAGACGTCTGGTTCAAGTCATTGACCTTTATTGGTTTGGAGAAGAAGAAGAAGAACAGAAAACAGAGCAAAAACCATATCTTTTTCTTCTTGGTTCGAAAAAGAAGAAGAGGAAACAGAGCAAAAACAATATCTTTTCCTTCGGCAAATATAAAATTTATATAACAGTTACTGTCATCTATATTGGAAAGGTCAGGCACTGTGTATGATTCCATGGAAAATATCAGAACACGTTCTAGTGTTTTACTTGGTACCATAATGTTACATACGCCTTTCAGGAAAGGTCATCATTGCAGTGGTA